CGTTCACCTCACCAGGTAACAGAGAATAAATCACTGTACCGTTTTGTCTCCAGTCAGGATCTCGAGCAGAAATGGAGCATAAAGAGGATCCAGGTTTGTTATTTTCACTCACATATGCGCTGTAGGACTGTTCCTCAAACACAGGTGGGTTGTCATTGATGTCAGCTACAGATAACTGAATAGCTTTAGAGGAAGACAGAGGTGGAGAGCCCTGATCAGTTGCAGTGATTGTAATGTTGTAATCAGACACTAATTCACGGTCCAGTTGTCCTGTGGTCACCAATGAATAATAGTTTTTAATCGATGGAACCAATTTAAAAGGGACGTTTTGCTCGATAGAGCAGCGAACCTGTCCATTAATATCAGAATCTCTGTCCTGTACATTAATTATTCCCACCTCTGTTCCAGGTGACACGCTTTCTGTCACGGGATTCGTCAGAGATTTCACATAAATAACAGGGCTGTTGTCATTCACGTCAGTAATCTCAATAATTACTTTAGAATCAGATGAAAGTCCATAGCCATCTTTTGCGTTGATGCGCATTTCATATTTAGAATCACTCTCGAAATCAAGACTCCCAATGACTTTTACTTCCCCCGTTTTGTTATTTAGTGTAAAAACCCTTTTAGCTCTTTCTGGGATGCGGCTAAATTCATACGTAACGTCCCCATTTACACCCTCATCTGCATCTTTAGCTTTAACAGTCACCGCGACAGAATCATGGGGCGCATTTTCAGGAAGACTTGCTCTGTAAACTGCCTGATCAAAAACGGGTGCGTTATCATTAGCATCAAGAACAGTGACGTGTATATTTACGGTCCCTGACCTCCGTGGATTTCCATCATCAACAGCAATAATGGTGAAATTCAACTCACGTTCCTTTTCACGATCTAACTCTTTGTCTAAAACTAGCTCGATGGTTTTGGATCCATCTGTATCTTCTCTAACTGATAAAACAAAATGTTCATTTGTTTGCAAACTGTATTGCTTTACCGTATTCTGTCCGATATCCGCGTCATGGGCTTCATTAACACGAAACCGCGCTCCCTTAGCAGCTGATTCCCTTATTTCTAGTTTAACTGCATCTTTAGGAAAAACTGGGGAATTGTCGTTCACGTCTTGAACGTGCAGAGAAATCCGATGCAGCTCCAAGGGGCTTTCTAAAACCAATTCATATTTCAGCAAGCATGAAGTCTTCTCGCCGCACAGCTCCTCTCTGTCAATCCTTTCCTTTATGATAAAATTCCCCATTCTTAGATCAAGATCACAGAAATGCTGATTGGCGTCTTCAGTATCGATCCGAGCTTTTCGAGTGGACATTTTTGCCACTTCCAGTCCGAGGTCTTTAGCGATATTTCCGACAATAGAACCAGGCCTCATCTCCTCTGGAACGGAATAGCTCAGGTCTGCAGCAGATAATTTTATGTAAAAAGCAAAACCTGACATGATACTGAAGAACAAATGTCCACTGAAGCCCATGGTTTCAATTCAACTTTGACACAAAGAAAAGCCGCCTTTCTTCGAAAAAACAAACAAACAAAAAAAACAGGATATTTGTAAAAAGCAGGTAGGTGAAGGGAGCTCTTGGAACAATGGAGATTCTGGTTTTAAATCATGAATGCGATATTGCTATGGGTGGAGAACGAAGACTATCTGCAAGCCAATAGCGACTCCACGAGTAGATACTGGACATTACAAACGCAAGAAAACGAAATGAGTCTGAAATTCCCAATTTCACAAGAAAGACTGCATAAAAAAAACGTATACTTTAAATCAAAATTAAAATAATTCCTCAGATATTTTCCATCTAATATCGGCGGCAAAAAAATGTAATTCAGCACCACGGAAAGCAAGTACTATACCCCCACCCCCTTCACAAACTCTCTCTCACCACTCTCCTCAAAAAAGGGAATACATAAATAAATAACTGCTCCAAAGTTTTCACTTTAAGGAAGCAAGCAGTTATTTGTCCTTTTTTTTGGTTGTTTGTTTGACATAAGCTTAAAATGCTTAATAATAACTTGCGTAAGGAGAACCTAAAGATTTGGTGAAATTTTGTATAACATAATATCACAAGGATTTGAGATCATAGGAAAATGAAAAAAGAACTCCCAGAGCCAGCAAATATGTGTTTAAAAATCTGATGCATTTTTGACAATGAAATTTGAAGTGTATCAGGCCGACAGGAATGTGATTAAATGTCGTCAGGAATTAATAATCCGTTGCTATGTTAGTCGACAATATGGAATACAACACCAGCAGTCAGAATATTTTTTGCAAAACTCTAAGTTACAAAGTGCTGACTCAATTCAAAATTAAAAAAAAAAAAGATTCTGGATGATATGACAACACAAAAAATAAAATACATTAGTTCCCTACCTCTTCAGGTGTCTCCAGGCCTTCAAACGGATCAATAAACTTTGTCGGACTTTTCCTCAGAGTCTGGTCAGCAGGCAGCGTGTTGTCATTGTAAGATGATACAAACTTAAAGTCACTGGTTCTAGATCCTGTTGTCAGGTAGGCATCATAATTGTAGGTGCTGTGTAAAGTTCCTGTGCCATCCACATCTGCGTAATTTGGGGGAAGATAAGCTCCGGGAATGGCTACAGCTCCATCAAACAACAGTCTGGGCTTTCTTCTGCGACAAAACCTCACACCAAGGATGATGATGATGAAGGTCAGAAAGAAGGTGGACACAGAAACCAGAGCGATGATCAGATAAGAAGTCAATTTAGAGTTGTTCTCATCATAAGAAATGTCTTTCAGTTCTGGCACCTCAGCCAAATTATCAGAAATAAGTAAATACATGGAACAGGTGGCAGACAGAGAGGGCTGTCCATTATCTTTCACTGCAACAATCAGGTTTTGCTTCATGCTGTCAGATTCTGAAATGTCCCGCTGTGTCCTGATCTCTCCACTGTGCATATCAATACTGAAAAGTCCAGGATCTGTGGCTTTGACTATATGATAGGAAAGCCAGGCATTCTGTCCAGAGTCTGCGTCCACTGCTATCACTTTGGACACCAGAGATCCTCCATGTGCAGCTTTGGGGACTAACTCAGTCATGAAGGAGCTGCCTTCTGCGGCGGGGTACAAAATCTGAGGAGAGTTGTCATTCACATCAGATACAAACACACTGACAGTCACATTGCTGCTGAGAGGAGGAGAACCATTGTCTCTGGCCATCACTTGGACTTTAAAACTCCTGAACTGTTCATAGTCAAATGACCTCACAGCGTGGATCACTCCTGTGTCTCCATTAACAGATAGAAAGGAGGACACCGAGGCACCGTTCACCTCACCAGGTAAAAGAGAATAAACCACTGTACCGTTTTGTCTCCAGTCAGGATCTCTAGCAGAAACAGTACATAAAGAGGAGCCTGGTTTGTTATTTTCACTCACATATGCGCTGTAGGACTGTTCCTCAAACACAGGTGGGTTGTCATTGATGTCAGTTACAGATAAGTGAATAGTTTTAGAGGAAGACAGAGGTGGAGAGCCCTCATCAGTGGCAGTGATTGTAATGTTGTAATCACATACTAGTTCACGGTCCAGGTGTCCTGTGGTAACCAGAGAATAATAGTTTTCAATGGAAGGCACCAACTTAAAAGGAACCTTTTGTTGGATGGAGCAGCGGACCTGTCCATTTTTATCAGAGTCTCTGTCTTGAACGTTCATGATGCCCATCTCTGTACCAGGTGACACGTTCTCAGGTATTGGGTTGGACAGGGATTTCAGGTAAATTTCTGGCGCATTATCGTTTACGTCGATAACATCAATTAACACTTCAGCATGTGAGTTCAGTCCTAATCCATCTTTAGCTTTAACTCTTATTTCAAAAGAATGTCTTTCTTCATAGTCAATTGTTCCCATCACTGTTATTTCTCCCGTTCTGGAATCAATCGAAAACAAATTCGCCACGTCCTCAGTCATGTGGCCAAATTGATAAGTGACATCTCCATTGACTCCTTCATCTGCATCTGTGGCGCTAACAGAAACCACTATTGTTTTTAAGGGCGCGTTTTCAGGCACAGTTGCCTTATAAACTGCCTGAGGAAACACTGGGGCGTTATCATTAGCATCCAGCACTGTTACATGTATGACCACAGTACCTGATTTCTGAGGAGATCCGCCATCTAAAGCTGTTAGAAGTAAATTGATTTCTTTTTGTTTCTCCCGATCAAGTTTATTCTCCAGCGTCAGTTCAACCTTGCTGCCATCTGCAGCAAGAATAAAATTGTCATTCGCTTGAAGTATGTATCTTTGCACTCCATTTGAACCTATATCAGCGTCATGGGCCTCCTCTATAGAGAAACTGTATCCTTTCTCTGCCGATTCGCTTATTTCCATTTCGATCAATTTTTCGTTAAAGTGCGGCGAATTGTCGTTCACATCTTGTATATGAAGGCTTAAACGATGAAGCTCCAGCGGGTTTTCCAACACCAGACCTGCTTTTAGAACACACGCAGATTTTTTTCCGCAAAGGCTTTCTCTGTCTATCCTTTCCGACAAAATTAAATCCCCGCTGTTCATTGCAATATCACAGTAGCGCTTCCGAGTGCCTTCAAAGTCAACACGGGCTTGTCGAGACGCTAAGGTCCGCAGATCAACGCCCAGATCCTTTGCTACATTTCCAACAACAGATCCTCGTTTCATCTCTTCTGGAATAGAATAGCTCAGATCCCCACGTACCTCATGCGGCGCTTCAAAAAATAAAGCAAAGCACAAAATCAGGCCGAGTCTTGGGAATCCTTTGTCTCTCATCTTGATTAAAAATGCGTTTTGATCGTTGTTGAAGCACACGAATGTTTCAAAAACACCATTAAAACACAAAGTAATAAAACGCATACAGCAAGGGATAACAGTTCAATATGGCCACTATATTCTAACATTTCCTTTGTAAAAATGCAAACTGAACACCCATTCATCTGTGGGTGGAGTGGCCCGAGATAATTTTCCGACAGCCAAGAGCGACATCTTCAGTCCTGTTGTTTTCACACCATGCCTCTTAGCAAAACCACAAATAAATGCTTATACATATATAAAAACCGAGATGTATTTTCTTTTTTCCCCCTTTTTTATTGAAACTAAATACGTACAGCTTACCTTCAAAGGAGCCAAAAGATACAACGGATATGTCTTTTAACTTAAGCTATTTGCTTCAGATGTATTGCAGGTTTTTTCCGTGGTTAAATTAATAGAACATTTTTGATTTCTCATAAAAATAAGCTTATCAGACTGGGTTATCCATAAAAAAGTAAAATAAATCTGAAATATTTAAGGTTCAGAGCAACTGCTGAATGTAGACAATGTAATTTTGCCCTAAGAGGCACGTAAAACGGTACCATAGATATGAAGTGATATGTCGACGGAGAGAGAGAGAGAGAGAGGAAGAGAGAGAGCGAGAGTCCTGCTCATCATTTATGTTCATTCACATCACTAAAAGCAGCTTATTTGTAATTTAGAAATATATTATTTTTTTAATTAAATCTATTTGTAAATCTCAGCATAAAAGATAATGTTAAGTTTGTGCCCTCAATGCAACGAAATGTGCTCTTAACTCTTAAGATAAAAAAGACGAATAATTAAAGGGTGTAGAAGTAGAGACAATTCAACAGAAACCCAAATAAAACATTTTGAGCAACATGACAAAAGCAATTGAAAATATAGAAACATGCATAAAACTGTAAACAAATATTGGTATTTATGTACAAAAACATTTGCAATGTGCTGAACAAAATAAGAAAAAAATATTTTAATGTGACATAATGAATCAAAGGTTGAACAAGTCGTCCTGAGAATTTCAATTATGTTCTGAGAAATGCAAGTGACTGAGAAAATCTATAAAGAGTAATGTAAAGCAAATAATTTAGAAAGTGTCTGGAAAAAATGACCATTATAAAGAGTCAGAGTCACAGTAGTTCAAATCCTTCTCACAGGAAAACCACTAAACTTAAACTTCCTGGCAATTAAGGTAAGTGAGGCCTGATCACACGCATGTTGCCTCACTGATGAGTCCTTTGGTGTCAGTCTGACTGACGTTGAACTCTTTTTTTCCCCCAAAGGGATCAACATATACTTTCCACCTGATGCCTTTAAGTCCTCAGTTAATTATGTTATAATAATAAAACACGGGAATAAAAGACCTGATGATTTTTGAGAACATGAACATAAAGTGTAGGGTTCAATAGATTTCTAAAGATTAATACAAAAACAATAGTAGGAAGATATGAAAAAGGGGTTTGTCGAACTATTGGGGAAAATTGCAAATGCAAATAATTGACTGTGGCAGTTAGTCATTGCCGCAAGGTTAATATAATTTTGTGGTGAAGATGTTGAGAAACTTATGTGCCAAACAAACACAATAAATCACAGAAAAAAAAGAACTAATCACTGAGAAAGGCATTAAAAAGACTCAAGATAGATACTCATTTGGGGGGGGGAATGAAAGTCCTACCTCAATGGATGTCTCCAGAGTTAAGAAGGGATCCTCAAAGTCTGTTGGACTTTTCTTCAGAGTCTGGTCAGCAGGCAGCGTGTTGTCATTGTAAGATGATACAAACTTAAAGTCACTGGTTCTAGATCCTGTTGTCAGATAAGCGTCGTAATTGTAAGTGCTGTGTAAAGTCCCTGTGCCGTCAACATCTGAGTAATTAGGAGGAAGATAAGCTCCTGGGATGGCTACTGCTCCATCAAACAACAGTCTGGGCTTTCTCCTGCGACAAAACCTCACACCAAGGATGATGATGATGAAGGTCAGAAAGAAAGTGGACACAGAAACCAGCGCGATGATCAGATAAGAAGTCAGCTTGGAGTTCTTCTCATCATAAGAAATGTCTTTCAGTTCTGGCACTTCAGCCAAGTTATCAGAAATAAGTAAATAAACTGAGCAGGTGGCAGACAGAGAGGGCTGTCCATTATCTTTCACTGCAACAATCAGGGTCTGTTTCATGCTGTCAGATTCTGAAATGTCCCGCTTTGTCCTGATCTCTCCACTGTGTAGATCAATATTGAAAAGTCCAGGATCTGTGGCTTTGACTATGTGATAGGACAGCCAGGCGTTCTGTCCAGAGTCTGCATCCACCGCAATCACTTTGGACACCAGAGACCCTCCATGTGCAGCTTTAGGGACTAACTCAGTCATGAAGGAGCTGCCCTCTGGGGCGGGATACAAAATCTGAGGAGAGTTGTCATTCACATCAGATATGAACACACTGACAGTCACATTGCTGCTGAGAGGAGGAGAACCATTGTCTCTGGCCATCACTTGGACCTTGAAACTCCTGAACTGTTCATAATCAAATGACCTCACAGCGTGGATCACTCCGGTGTCTCCATTAACAGATAGATAGGAGGACACAGAGGCACCGTTCACCTCACCAGGTAACAGAGAATAAATCACTGTACCGTTTTGTCTCCAGTCAGGATCTCTAGCAGAAACAGTACATAAAGAGGATCCAGGTTTGTTATTTTCACTCACATATGCGCTGTAGGACTGTTCCTCAAACACAGGTGGGTTGTCATTGATGTCAGCTACAGACAACTGAATAGTTTTAGAGGAAGACAGAGGTGGAGAGCCCTCATCAGTGGCAGTGATTGTAATGTTGTAATTAGATACTAGTTCACGGTCCAATTGCCCTGTGGTCACTAAAGAATAATAGTTTTTAATAGAAGGCACTAATTTAAAAGGGACGTTTTGCTGGATGGAGCAGCGGACCTGTCCATTATTCTCGGAATCTCTGTCATGAACGTTAATGACTCCCACCTCTGTACCAGGTGACACGTTCTCAGGTATGAGGTTGGACAGCCATTTTAGATAAATGGCTGGTGAATTATCATTCGAATCTATAACATCTATTAACACTTTCGCATATGACGTTAGTCTTAATCCATCTTTTGCTTCAACGCTCATTTCAAAAGAATTATTTTCTTCATAGTCAATCACGCCTGTTAATTTAATTTGCCCCGTTTTTGGATCAATAGAAAATAAACTGACTTCATCCTCAGATATGTGTCCAATCTTATAAGTTACATCTCCGTTCACACCTTCATCAGCATCAGTAGCATTTACAGTAATTATTAGAGTTTCGGGCGGCGAGTTTTCAGGCACACTTGCTTTATAAACGGCCTGAGAAAACACAGGGGCGTTATCATTAGCATCCAGCACTGTAACATGTATGACTACAGTACCTGATTTCTGTGGAGATCCGCCATCTATAGCTGTTAGAAGCAAACTTATTTCCTTTTGTTTCTCTCGATCAAGCTTGTTCTCCAGAGCCAATTCAACTTTATTGTTTTCAACAGCAAGAATAAATTTTTCGTTAGTTTCGAGGATGTATCTCTGTACATCGTTTTGACCTATATCTGCATCATGGGCGACTCCAATAGAAAAGCGGCTACCCTTCTCGGCCGACTCGTGAATTTCCATTTCAATAAAATTTTCACTAAATTTTGGCGAGTTATCATTTACATCTAGTACATGAAGACTGACGCGATGAAGCTCTAGAGGATTTTCTAACACCAGGTCGATCGTCACTACACAGAAGGGTTTCTTACCGCAAAGGTTTTCTCTGTCAATTCTGCCCGACGTGATTAAATCCCCGGTGTTCTTATTAACGTCACAGAAACGTTTACGAGCCCCTTCGATATCTACACGAGCCTTTCGAGAAGAAAATGTTCCAAGATTAAGTCCGAGGTCTTTGGCAATATTTCCAATAACAGATCCACGTTTCATCTCCTCCGGAAAAGAATAGCTCAGATCTCCTCGAACAAGAGGCATTGTGACAATTATGGCAACAAAGCAGATGATAAGAAATAGCGCAGAAAATCTTTTGTGTCGCATCTTCCGTGCAAATAGTCCTCAGCTAAAGACAGAAAATATACTACAGAACGAAAAAAGAACACTGCATTGACAACAAGATGTTTGGATCCACTAAAACTATGCAGAACGCTAAATGTTCAAGTCTTTAACCGCTTATGCATCAAAGCTCTATCTGCTGTCTATGCACTAATGGGTGGAGTGGCAACGATGAAATTGTTTTGGATGAGCCAACAGCGACACCGTGAGTTATTTTTAAGTGTTAGAAATGTTCACTCTAAGCTCTCTAAATACAGCCTTTAATTAGTTGGTTCACGTTACGCATTTCAAACAATTTCAGTATATTTCACAATGGAAAAGCAAAACCTTATATGTTAGAGAAAAGTTGGAAATGAACTTTACTATTTATTGTACTAGGATTATTATTTAACTTTATTATCATGATTACTAATGGAAATAAAAATTATAATGACACTACTACTAAATAAAGAAAAATAAAAACCTAAATAAGATTATACCATATTAAAATATTTTAAAATATATTATATTATATTATATTATATTATATTATATTATATTATATTATATTATATTATATTATATTATATTCTTTGTAGGTTGATAAAAGAAACAGTATGCAGGTTTAACATGTTTTGAGAAAAATGTTAATAATCCAGCCACAACAAACTGAATTATGTTTATGACAGAAATGGTTCAGCACCACGGACAGGTACTTTCACAAAAGTCAAGATGGTAGAAATGTAGTAAATATTATTCTGACAGCAAAGATTTCAATGCAAAGCAAAATAATTATATTCAAGACAGTAACTCAAAATATGACTTTATCAGCTATCTGATAAAGTCATATTTTGACTTTATGAGAGAGTCATATTCCTCTCCCACTCCCTCCCTCCTCTGAAGTGGAAATTAAACTTCAAATGCGTTGGTGAAATTTTGTATAAAATTATATCACAAGTATATGAGACCAAAATAAAATGAGAAAAGAACTCCCAGAATCATCAAAATTGTGTTTCAACTATCTGATGCAATTTTCACAATAAAAAATGAAGTGTATCCAGCAGACAGGAAAGTGATTGAATGTTGTCATGAAATAAATAAACATTACTACGTTAGTCGATAATCTTGAATACAATACCAGCAGTTAGAATAGTTTTTGAAAAACCCTAAGTTACAATGTGCTAACTCATTTCAAAATTTCAGGAAAAAAAACAAAAAAAGATTGTGAATAATATAAAAACAGAAAAACTAAAATATATTAGTTTCCTACCTCTTCAGGTGTCTTCAATCCTTCAAAAGGATCAATAAACTTTGTCGGACTTTTCCTCAGAGTCTGGTCAGCAGGCAGCGTGTTGTCATTGTAAGATGATACAAACTTAAAGTCACTGGTTCTAGAGCCTGTTGTCAGGTAGGCATCATAATTGTAGTTGCTGTGTAAAGTCCCTGTACCATCAACATCTGCGTAATTTGGGGGAAGATAAGCTCCTGGTATGGCTACTGCTCCATCAAACAACAATCTGGGCTTTCTCCTGCGACAAAACCTCACACCCAGGATGATGATGATGAAGGTCAGAAAGAAAGTGGACACAGAAACCAGCGCAATGATCAGATAAGAGGTCAACTTGGAGTTCTTCTCATCATAAGAAATGTCTTTCAGTTCTGGCACTTCAGCCAAGTTATCAGAAATAAGTAAATACATGGAACAGGTAGCAGACAGAGAGGGCTGTCCATTATCTTTCACTGCAACAATCAGGTTCTGTTTCATGCTGTCAGATTCTGAAATGTCCCGCTGTATCTGCAGTTCTCCGCTGTGTAGATCAATACTGAAAAGCCCAGGATCTGTGGCTTTGACAATATGATACGAAAGCCAGGCGTTCTGTCCAGAGTCTGCGTCCACTGCTATCACTTTGGACACCAGAGACCCTCCATGTGCAGTTCTGGGGACCAGCTCGGTCATAAAGGAGCTGCCCTCTGGGGCAGGATATAGTATTTGAGGAGAGTTGTCATTCACATCAGATACAAACACACTGACAGTCACATTGCTGCTGAGAGGAGGAGAACCATTGTCTCTGGCCATCACTTTGACTTTAAAACTCCTGAACTGTTCGTAATCAAATGACCTCACAGCGTGGATCACTCCTGTGTCTCCATTAACAGATAGATAGGAGGACACTGAGGCACCGTTCACCTCACCAGGTAAAAGAGAATAAACCACTGTACCGTTTTGTCTCCAGTCAGGATCTCTAGCAGAAACAGTACATAAAGAGGAGCCTGGTTTGTTATTTTCACTCACATATGCGCTGTAGGACTGTTCCTCAAACACAGGTGGGTTGTCATTGATGTCAGCTACAGACAACTGAATAGTTTTAGAGGAGGAAAGAGGTGGAGAGCCCTCATCAGTTGCAGTGATTGTAATGTTGTAATCAGACACTAGTTCTCTGTCCAATTGCCCTGTGATCACCAAGGAATAATAGTTTTTAATAGAAGGAACTAATTTAAAAGGGACGTTTTGCTGGATGGAGCAGCGGACATGTCCATTTTTCTCAGAATCTCTGTCCTGGATGTTAATAACGCCCACCTCTGTACCAGGTGACACGTTTTCTTGTGTGGGATTGGAAAGGGTTTTGACATAAATAGCAGGTGCATTATCATTTACATCGGTAACCTCTATTAATACTTTAGCATATGAAGTTAGTCCTAATCCATCTTTTGCTTGTATCCTAATTTCAAAAGAATTGTTTTCTTCAAAGTCTATCTCTCCAGTTACTTTAATTTGTCCCATCTTTGGATCAATAGAAAATAAACTGACATCAATCCCAGATACGTGTCCAAATTGATATGTTACATCTCCGTTCACTCCTTCATCGGCATCAGTAGCATTTACAGTAATTACCAGTGTCTCTGGTGGAGAGTTTTCAGGCACACTTGCTTTATATACAGCCTGACAAAACACTGGGGCGTTATCATTAGCATCTAGCACTGTAACATGTATTACTACAGTACCTGATTTCTGTGGAGATCCGCCATCTATAGCTGTTAAAAGCAAACTTAACTCTCTTTTTTTTTCGCGATCAAGTTTATTCTCGAGTACTAATTCAACGTTATTGCTGTCAACCGCGAGAACAAAATGATCGTTCTTTTGTAATACGTATCTTTGTACAGTATTTTGACCTACATCTGCGTCATGGGCCTCTTCGATAGAGAAGTGGTTACCTCTTTCAGCTGACTCACTTATTTCCATTTCGATTAAATTTTCTCTAAATTGTGGCGAATTATCATTTACATCTACTACATAAAGACTGACACGATGAAGCTCCAGAGGATTTTCTAACACCAGGTCGATCGTCACTACACAGGAGGGTTTCTTACCGCAAAGGTTTTCTCTGTCAATTTTCTCCGAGGTGATTAAATCCCCGGTGTTCGTATTAACGTCACAGAACCGTTTACGAGCCCCTGCAATATCTACACGAGCCTTTCGGGAAGAAAATGTTCCAAGATTAAGTCCGAGGTCCTTGGCAATATTTCCAATAACAGATCCACGTTTCATCTCCTCCGGAAAAGAATAGCTCAGATCTCCTCGAACAAGAGGCATTGTGACAATTATGGCAACAAAGCAGATGATCAGAAATAGCGCAGAAAATCTTTTGTCTCCCATCCTCCGCATTAATGGTCCCTAGGTAACAACAGAAACAATGCTACCGTACGAAAAAGAACACTGCATTAGAAATAAGATGAGGAATACACTAAAAGTAGACAGTGCCCTCAATGTTCAAGAGTTAGTAGCTTCTGCATCAAGGCTTTGTCTGATCTTTATGCACTAATGGGTGGAGTGCCAACGATTATGCTGTTTTGGATGAGCCAACAGCGACACCGAGAGTTATTTTTGAATGATACAATTTTTCAAAGTTTTCTTAGTCAAAAAATAATGCGCCATTTAATGCTATGGTTTACATTGAAAATCTTTAATGTATTTCACTACAGGTTACACTGGAAATTTAACAAAAAGGGAACCTGAGAAGATAGGTAAAAACGATATTAACTTTAAGAAATTGCCTAAATTAAAATGGTAATGCAGTTATATTATATTATATTATATTATATTATATTATATTATATTATATTATATTATATTATATTATATTATATTATATTATATTATATTATATTATATTATGTCTTGTGGTATGACGAAACATATATGATAAGCAGATTTTTCCGTATGTTTTAAGACAAAAATTTAAAGAGCCTTCCATACTCTGGTCTATTATGTTCTGTAAAAAATAAATAAATAAATAAAAAAATAACAAACTAGAAATGACTTTAGGTGCTGTTGTCGGGAAACTGTTTCGGATTGTTTCAGAAACCACGGAAATTTTCTATGACAAAAGGGAAGATTGAAGAAATATACCATATTGTGGCACCAATGTACTCAACGTCGAAAAAAAGCTATTCAAGACAGTATCTTAAAATAAGACTACAAGCTTTTTGAATTCAAATTCCACCTTATTGTGGAGCGGTAATGACATTTAAACTTAATATGTGACCGGATGTGCGAACAGAATAGAAAGAAAAAAGACAACTCTCAGAGGCACCAAAAACTTGTTAAATAAATCTAAGATGTTTTGCAATAAAGCTGGAGGCCTATAAGACCTACAGGAGTGGTGTGACTGAAGTAGGTCATAAAAAATTGAACCGACATTATGTTAGTCGAAAATGCTGATTAAAACACAAGTGGCACTTTTGCAACAACAACAACAACAAAAAAAAAAAAACGCAAGTTACATAGCACCTATTACATTATAATTTGAATTTAAAAACTACATATTATGACTGATATACAAAAAACACAACACAAAAAAATCCAGAAAATACAAATTAGTTTCCTACCTCTTCAGGTGTCTCTAGTCCTTCAAAGGGATCGGTAAACTTTGACGGACTTTTCCTGAAAGTCTGGTCAGCGGGCAAAGTGTTGTCATTGTAAGATGATACAAACTTAAAGTCACTGGTTCTAGAGCCAGTTGTCAGGTAGGCATCATAATTGTAGGTGCTGCGTAAAGTTCCTGTACCATCAACATCTGCATAATTAGGAGGGAGATAAGCTCCTGGGATGGCCACTGCTCCATCAAACAACAGTCTGGGCTTTCTCCTGCGACAAAACCTCACACCCAGGATGATGATGATGAAGGTCAGAAAGAAAGTGGACACAGAAACCAGTGCAATGATCAGATAAGAGGTCAACTTGGAGTTCTTCTCATCATAAGAAATGTCTTTCAGTTCTGGCACTTCAGCCAAGTTATCAGAAATAAGTAAATACATGGAACAGGTGGCAGACAGAGAGGGCTGTCCATTATCTTTCACTGCAACAATCAGGTTCTGTTTCATGCTGTCAGATTCTGAAATGTCCCGCTGTGTCCTGATCTCTCCACTGTGTATATCAATACTGAAAAGTCCAGGATCTGTGGCTTTGACAATATGATATGAAAGCCAGGCGTTCTGTCCAGAGTCTGCGTCCACTGCTATCACTTTGGACACCAGAGACCCTCCATGTGCAGCTTTAGGGACTAACTCAGTCATGAAGGAGCTGCCCTCTGGTGCCGGGTACAGGATCTGAGGAGAGTTATCATTTACATCAGATATGAACACACTGACAGTCACGTTGCTGCTGAGAGGAGGAGAACCATTGTCTCTGGCCATCACTTGGACTTTAAAACTCCTGAACTGTTCATAGTCAAATGACCTCACAGCGTGGATCACTCCTGTGTCTCCATTAACAGATAGATAGGAGGACACCGAGGCACCGTTCACCTCACCAGGTAACAGAGAATAAATCACTGTACCGTTTTGTCTCCAGTCAGGATCTCGAGCAGTAACGGAGCATAAAGTTGAGCCAGGTTTGTTATTTTCACTCACATATGCGCTGTAGGACTGTTCCTCAAACACAGGTGGGTTGTCATTGATGTCAGCTACAGACAACTGAATAGTTTTAGAGGAAGACAGAGGTGGAGAGCCCTCATCAGTGGCAGTGATTGTAATGTTGTAATCAGATACTAGTTCACGGTCCAGGTGTCCTGTGGTCACTAGAGAATGATAGTTTTTAATAGAAGGAATTAATTTAAAAGGGACATTTTGCTGGATGAAGCAGCGGACCTGTCCATTTTTCTCAGAGTCTCTATCTTGAACATTAATGATTCCCACCTCTGTACCAGGTGGTATACTTTCAGGTGTGTTGCTGGACATGGAGTTTAGATAAATAGCTGGTGCATTATCATTCACATCGATAACGTCTATTAACACTTTAGCATATGATGTCAGTCCTAAGCCATCTTTGGCTTCAACGCTAATGTCAAATGAAATTGTTTCTTCAAAGTCGATCACACCCGTTACTTTCATTTGTCCAGTTTTTGGATCAAGCGAAAATATATCTAGATTTTCTTCAGACACATGTCCAAAGTCATAAATCACGTCTCCGTTCACTCCTTCATCTGCATCAGTAGCACTAACAGTAATCACCAGTGTTTCTGGTGGTGCGTTTTCCTGCACCCTTGCTTTATAAACAGCCTGAGTAAACACTGGGGCATTATCATTAGCATCTAGCACTGTAACATGTATGACCACAGTACCCGATCTCTGGGGAGATCCGCCATCTATAGCTGTTAGAAGCAAATTAATTTCCTTTTGTTTCTCTCGATCGAGATTATTTTCCAATTGTAGCTGAACCCTTTTACTATCCGCTGAAAGTATAAAATTATCATTCTTTTCAAGTACGTATCTTTGAACGTCGTTTTGACCCATGTCCGCATCATGGGCCTCCTCGATAGAGAAGCGGCTCCCTTTATCTGCAGACTCCCTTATTTCCATTTCGATTAAATTCTTTTTGAATTTAGGCGGATTATCATTCACATCTTGTACATGAAGACTGACTCGATGAAGCTCCAAAGGATTTTCTAACACCAGGTCGATTTTCACGACACACGAGGGTTTCTTACCACAAAGGCTTTCTCTGTCAATTCTGTCCGATGTGATTAAATCCCCGGTGTTCATATTAATGTCACAGCAGCGTTTCCGAGTCCCTTCAATATCCACACGGGCCTTTCGAGAAGATAATGTATTGAGATCAACTCCAAGATCCTTGGCAACATTTCCAACAATGAATCCTAGTTTCATCTCTTCTGGAAAAGAATAGCTCAGATCTCCTTGGACGAGATGTCTTGTTCCAAAAAGGGAAACAAAGAGGTGGATCAGAACAAGCACCCGAAACCGTTCGTGTTTCGGGTGCATCATCGTAAAACAATGCGTTTGCAGGCGTTTGTAGAAATGCTTTAAAAAATGACCAAATTATCGCTCAGCACGAAACACAATGAAAAGCACAATCTTCTACATCTTAGTAAAGCTATGACAGTAGGTGGAGAAATGTGCTCCACTTGTATGTTAGCCCACAGCGGCACCGTGAGTCGGTTTTCATTATTTACACCTTAATATTTTCCCCTCAATGTCAAAAACTCCATCCTCAAAACAAACAAACAAAAAAGACACAAACTAGACACAGAATGCAAAAAACAATTGTTCGTGTGCATAAAGTCAGGTAAACGTATTAAAAATGTTTCCCAAGTTTTCAGTGAGATCGAAGTGCAAACAGTAAAAGTCTTGTGTAATTTTCCCACGCATAAGCGGGAGACTTTCAGGCTTAAAAGTGGTGGTTTCAGTACCACGGACAGAGAGCGCTAATGCTCACGTTACAGGAAGATTTCATCTCAAAGCCTACATAACAGAACTGAACAAAATTCCACGATAAATTAACCAAAAGTATACAAACACATAAATATATGTAACTGCGTTAAATATAAAATATTTAGCAAACATGCAAATGAGTGTTGTGCGTCTCAATGCCCAAATGTACTGCAGGATAAACTGAACCAATGGTCAACCAGAGCCTCATTTAGAAAGACTTAGAGAAGCTAGCTACTGAACATATGCTGAAATTGAGAAAAGTGCTCATAAATTCAGATGTTTTAATCCGTGAGTGCTGATGAATCCTCGCAGACGTTATTTGTACACCCCATTCCACGTGCAATTAAGCGAACTTGTGCGTGTAAATTGCGCAGTTAGTTCATTCGGTAACACTTTATTTGAAGGGGGTTGAATAAGACTGTCATGACACTGTCATAAACATGACATAACACCTGTCATGAACATGAATAAGCCTTCATGAATATTTATGACTGTTGTCATAAAGCGTCATTCGGTAAATTATGACACTTTTAATACAAAGTTGACATTATTCAAAATGTCTTTGTTATGACAACTTGACATTAACCAAGAAATCATTACTGTTTAAACTTTACCTTTAATAACATAAAGTTACCTAATTTTTAAAGTGCAATCAGTAATACTTTTATAACAAATTTATGTCATTAATAATTTCTTAGTTAATGTCAAGTTGTCATAACAAAGACATTTTGAATAATGTCAACTTTGTATTAAAAGTGTCATAATTTACCAAATGAAACTTTATGACAACAGTCATAAATATTCATGAAGGCTTATTCATGTTCATGACATGTGTTTATGACAGTGTCATGTAAGTCTTATTCAACCCCCTTCAAATAAAGTGTTACCGTTCATTCTAACTGCACAAACTTCTAATGTTCTCGCTAGAAGAACTTATTTCTAAGTGTGTCGTATACAAAGAGCCAGCGAGCATTTATGTGCAAAATCAGACATCAACAATGTCCACCATTTACATCAATCGCAAACAACTACTGTCGTTTTTTTTTTTTTTTTAAACAGAGAATGATCTGCAACCATTTTTTTCAGCTAATGGTAAGAATGCAGCCTGGAGAATACATTTGATTATTTTACAAACCCTTCAAGGTTGAAAGTAAGAGCTTAAAGTGCATATTTAAGGTTCTTGGCGTTGTAGGCTCTTTTCCCTTGAAATCTATGTTTCGGTTGCAAATAGCCTTTGTATAATTAATTATTCTGAATCCCTGGTCCTAAAAGATTTTCATAGTGATGTAAAACAAATTGTTCATATAATCCTTTTCATATACAAAGTGAATATTTCAGTTATCCTACAAGGCTGAACATGCCATCTGGCAAAATATGTGTCCCCTTCCAAAATACATGAATAGCTATTTGAGTACTTGATCAAGGAAACATCTAGAAGTTCCAAGACAAAGGGCCCTTGAGGCCTAGAATATTTTACCTGAGCTAGATGAAAAATAATTTTAAAAAAGCTACAGAACTAGCGTCTATATCAAAAACTTAAAAAACAGGAAGTCATTCTGAAAAAAAAGACAAATTTCTCAACACATGTAGACAATGGTTGAGAATCAACAAGCTTCAGAAATAATTGCTCTCCTTTTAAAAGGGATTTTATTTTACAAGAGGGAGTGACGGCAAGAAGTTGATGTCATTTGCCTCCACACAAGTCCAAAGCAAGAACTTGTGGAACTCAGGACCATCACCAAGTCCTGGTGAGACGTCCTGTAGGTCTGGTAGTGGCTGGGGAGCTTCAACTTGAAAGAAGCAGGTGAGAACTACTGCAGAAGCTGAAGTTACAACCTCCACACTGAGGTTTCTTGTTGGTAGTTTCCACCCGACCCAAAACTTCATCAGGTCACTCAGCACATCTGACGTCACTGTGGAAGAGAAGTACACCGGTCAACCCACAAAAAATTATATTAGAGTAGAGATTTCAAAAATATATGAAGTAACAATTTTCTCATAAAATTCTTTTTTTTTTTTTTTACAAATCCTGTTCAGAGCTCTTAGATAATCAAGCAATCATTACATCAGCAATGCTTACAGGTGACAAATATAAGACAGATCAAGTTGTCACACTAGTGCTGGACTTAAAGGGTCTTGTAACAAAAGTGAAATCCCTGTAGTCTTTTCCTCTCATAGTTTAGAATGTTAATAGGATTTCTTTATATACTGTGAAATGTAAACAATGTATGAATTATCTTTTACCAGGTTCCTGCATTTGTGTTTTTCTTCCCTTAGTCTGAGCTGGGCTACACTGTTTATTTCAAACATTCACTTTCATCTCCTTTTCCTGTGCTGTTTTGAAAAGCAAAAGCAGAGGAGAGAAGTGAGGAGGGAGAGAAACACGACCAGTTGACAAAACAGTAAGCTCACACTGACATGAAATGAAACAAATACACATCAATGTGCTAAACATAAAAATATATCCTGTTACTGTAGTAACTAGGGCTTTTTATGAGAAGATAACTGATTTAAAACGGGAATAAAATATAAAGACCGTTTATTGCAGATCTTTTCTTGAGAAAATGTTCTCAAAAATCCAGTGAAGGGGCAATTTTATTTTTATTGTTTTCCCAATGTATTAATTTCTTCCTCCTTGTTGCTGTCGCAGTTTGGTTGTGGCTGTGGATCACCATCTACATGAAATAGAAACATATTTCATGTCAGTACTGTCACTTATGTAAAATCACTTTGTGATACAGGAAATCTTTCCTGCCACAGGCTATCACTTTATATAACAAACGTTAAGTTACCTTTGTACATATCTGCCTATTAATCAATATTGTACAGATTGTTTACAAAGCACCATTGTACAGACTGTACAGATTATTAATTTTCACTGTTCATATTGTACAGAATCTTACATCTTACATTTTATATTTATGCATTTATCTTATTTTTATTTTATTTTCCTATTGTAATTTGATCTGTGTGTATGTGTATACTGCAACTGCACAGTAATTTCCCGGTTGGGATGAATAAAGTACTTCTATCTATCTATTCTATATTTAGACGTGTGATTTAATTGATTTAATCAGTGATTCTTGAGAATAGGGACAAAATGGGTTTTAATTTTCCCATAATTTTATTTAGTTATTTCTCAACCTTATGTATGCAAATATGACAAATAATGTTTAGGAAATGTAAAGATGCTAAGGTACAGGCTCCCAGTTGGAACATTAAAAAAAAAAAAAAAATACATTTTTAATCGACCTGACCTAGAACGCTGTCATCACCATCTGACAAAAACAAATAAAAAATAATTTTTAATGACCCTATTAGTGATATTTTTACTCATTTTACAGACAAATGCTTGTGAAGAAACAAAAGAAATATTATTTAAAACCAAAAACAACAAAAAGGCCACCTGACGGAGTTGACAGTGCATGACGGAGTTGACACAGAACTGAAGGTGGTGACAAACTAGTGAATAGAATGAAAAACTTGGTACATGTGAAGAAATGCAATTCATGTAAAATACATTAAAATGAATTCATTGCACATT